ATGTTATTTGATAGAGAAATTCACTGACTCCAAAAATAAAAGAACAACGATTGTTTTAATTAACTTTTTATTAAACTATGCTTTAATTTTGTACAAAATAAAATAGTTGAACATATTCATAATGATTCTCTTTCTCTTGTAAACACACTTCATTCCTATTTGATGAAAACTATAGTTCTTTTAATCTAACAAAATTTATATCTCAAACATAATTACTGTTTTTGATGTCTGAACACATATTAACTTTTATTTGAGACCAAGCTTTTATCTAATTAGAAGTATACTAAAATTACGCATGTACCAATCATTTGGATGATGAAATCTACTGATTATTAGCTCTGACTATTAATCATCTTCATTCTGTTAAAGTCTTTTTCGGAACTTGATTTACGTGACAACAAAAGCAATAAATTTCACAGAAAAAAAATAAAAACCAATATAGTATGAACAGTAGTTGCTTTAATATTTAGTCTAGATCAGTGCAATGATATATAGGTTTACATCTAGTTTTTGGGTGAACGTCATTTTTTTTCTGGAATAAACGTACATTTTCGAAGAAAACAGTGAGTGTAACTTTAAATCGAAGTTTTTCTGGTTGCCTCCTTCATTTACCGTCGCATTGGAGAACAACAGATGTCAGACTCTTTTCTTAAAGTTCTGCATGATCAAAAAAAGATGCTAAACAGCATTAACAACAAGACTTAAACTGTTCTAGAATATTCGACAGCCTTCCTCAAAATACGAATGGCTGAAATGAGTTTATGAGTCTTCTAAATACTGCAGCTTTTCATTTTTGAGCAGATAAAAATTTATATTCAAGATGTCAAGGATGATGACTAGTCATACATTGGTTTACTACAATCGTCATATGATCAACAAAATAAGTATGACCTGATCAAGTTATAACTTTGGAAAATAATGAATATCTGTGTCTGTGAGCTTATAGAATTATCATCGATGTAATGGATGTGTACAACAGACCTATTAAATCAATGGTTAGGATAATAAAAAATATGGAATGTAAAAATGAAAAGCAGCAACACAAAACAGAAAGAAGAGTGTCCGTAAAGAAGAAGAAAAAATTCTGCTCACAATCCAGAGAGAAATAGACGGATCTTTTCTCTGGACATCAATTGTCCCTGGAAAACAAATAATGTCTGTAAGAGATTCTTCACTTGACGTATTTTGTATTAGTATAATGAGGCTAGGAAATACATGTGAATATCACCTTTCAACCACAAACAAGCTACGGTGACAAGTTTATTAGTAAAAATACATTTTTTTTGTCGCACTGATAAATGTCAAATGAGTTCTTCAAAAACCCTTAGTTTGCTTAGTAAAATTTACGACAAACTAGCCCGTAATAGAAGAACGTTACTTTGGGAGAAGCCATATGAATAGTCATACTCGAAGGTCATCATGTTTTATCCTGATTGGACCATTTATTGTTCGTTTTGTTAGGTTTTCAATGAAGTTCAATTTTAACAGTATTGAGTTCTCGTTGGTTAAACTAAACCTTTCAAATGCAATAATTTAGAATATAAATAAACTTAGTCATGAAAAAAAGAACCGATGATTTCGATGCCATGTTTAAATTAATGACATTCAGGATTTCAATCATAAACCGATGAATTTCAACGAAACTTGTACTATACATAATTGTAGTTCAGAGCTATATGATGAAATTTCTTTACTCGATAGATCTTTTGCCTATCGAGTTATGACTCTTGCAAGTAGACTTCGTCAGTTTCGTTCTGAACGTGTAAGAAAATTTTGAACCTAACAGACTCTACTTATAAGTTTATCTATAATAATTCAGTTTTCAAATCAATCCGTTTCAATATTAATGTTATATGAAATATATTAAGACAAGATTCATGATTATTAAGCGAAAAACATGTCGCCTGTATTATTAAAGTTATGTTTCACTTTTTTAGTCTCCGATATTGCTGGTATATCATTATTTATATGACAATTTACTGGATGAATTCAGTAACTTGATGGATTGGTAACAAGATAAGTACAAAGTCATTGTAAAACAGGTCAACGCAACCTTTGTTCCTATTCTGTCGTTGTGTCTTCTTTGCCCAGTCCACGGCGACATAATTCATCAGATCATTTCTTATTTTTCTGCTGTTTATAGCTTATGACACGTTATATGTATCAGAAAACTTATGCTAAATTAAGTCTTGTCTTATATCAATTCTACGCAGACATTTCTACATATATATTATGTATATATGTTATTTTAATTATTATCCTTATATCTTAATTTGACCTAATTAATATATATAAGTTTTCTTTTTATTTAAATGTAATTATTCATCATCAATTAAATAAATTGTTGGAATTTACTTAACAATATTTCAATAGTTTATAAATGAAACGAGTGAAAAATAATGTATTAGGGTTTAGTTTTTAGAATATATGTAAATATGTCAATGTAATGAAATAATTCTTTATAGACAACATAATATGAATAGATAATAAATATGTAAAAAAAAAACAAATGACAAATGAACTTTAAGATTTCTTCCAGATAGTTATACATTTTCAAGAAATTTCGTTTGAGAAGGCAAAAAAAGAATCGGAGTCGAGGATATTGGTAAAATTACTGCATATTGATCGATGAAAGAAACCTTTCACGTTAGTGATCAATCGATAGCAATTAATCATCAGACATTGCTCTTATAAATAAACTGAATTTTCTTGTATTTTATGTCGATTTAGTAATGACTAAAAAAAGATTATTTTTCATTGATATATGAATAACGCACATCGAATTCTTCAAGCAAACATCTGTAAATGTTTCATATGATTGATCGTAATAAAAAATGATCTAGTATATGTCGTCCTATCTTTGTCAGCATACTGTTAATGATACTCAACAACTTTTACTTGTATACATATATATATGTAGGAATATATGTACATTGTTTTTCTTTGCTAAAGGCTTTTACTTCTATTAAAACCCACACAATTCAAGAAATGATGTGAAACGTTAGTTAAATACCCATAAGAATATGATAGATCAACTATTGATTGGATAAGAAATAACTGTCATAGAACTTAAGTGCATATCATTTTAGTTAGGTATCTTTCTTTTTTTATTCCATGTATATGTGTGCGTATATGTTAGTTTATTGATATGTATTTGTTAGAAAAAAGAAATGGTATTGCTATCAATATTTGTCCTATATGGTTATGTTCTTTTGTGAGATGTGATTAATAACAGGAATGTCATTGGCGAGAAATGAGTGGGCTACAAGAGAGAAAAAAAAAAGAATACGCCTGTATAACTGAATGAGGAAAGAAGTGTACAATATTCAGCCTCATATAAGACACACGATTTGTTGGTAACTAGAAAAGAACAGAGAAAGAAACAAGTTATATCTGTAGTGAGATCAACTTAGTACGCTAAATTTGGGAGGAACATTCGGGTTAGGGTTTCATTCTATCATAGCTGTTCTTTCTTTCTCTATTTTTATTCCTACGCATATATATATATATAGATATCGATGCATCTTAGATGCTTTTTCTTTGAGCTAGTTTTCTTTTTCTTCTTATAAGGAAAGTTCTATATTGGCAGTGATGGTATCGTTCGTTCTATATTTTTCTCTTTCTATTTCTTTCACACAGATATGCACATCGATATATTCACCGCCAAAGATATTTACACAATATATTGCTCGGTGTTTGGTTGATGATGCTGGAAACAATCATTTTCTACTCTGGGATGTTATATACGATGTTGATCGATTTTTTTCTGCGGCGGATACGGAATAGAAGCACATAGATAGAGAGAGAAAAAAAGGAACCAAGAAAACAACTGTGTTATTTTTATGTTCTTTTCAGAGAAGAAGTTTGATCAACCAACGAGTCGACTTTCTTATTCATCTTATGTAAGTTAACACGACTAGAGAAATGATTAGGAACGAGACTATTTATTTATTTTTGATCATTAATAAGATGCCATTGAAATCTTCTGAAGTAACCAAATGTTCTAAATGCTATGAAAATGTTTAAGTTTCTAAAGCAGTTCAAGTAGTTCATAAGAAATATTATAAAATATGTTTTAAATGCGATACATTTAAGTATGAAGAAGAATTTTTTCTTATTGATTTTATTTATTTCTATCTATTCTATTCTATTATAAGTTCCTGCATAAGCCTATTATATTCATTGTCTCTTTCAGATGCCATTTTAAATTCAAATTGTTTATTATTTTAAAATGTAATTAGCCCGTCTATTACACCGAACAAGTACCAACAGCTGGTAAAAAATGACACAAAACTTATTGTGAATGTAGTAAGGTATTGACCTTATCCTATGGGTTCTTTTTATTTGCTTTTTTTTAGCTAATTTCTTGTTGATAATCAATTATCACCTATTTTCTTTTATTTGTGAAAAGGTCTTTGTGAAACAAAAAAGAAAATGCTCGAAATAACAACACTTGCTGAGCATGAAGGTAATTTATGTTGTCAACAATGCAACGCTCGTAAATTTGTAAGTGATTATTGATGTAGTTAAGGTTGTGCTTTTACTGAAAATAGATTTATATTAATATAGAGTTCTAAAAGTATGTTGGTTTTGGTAGTAGAGAATATTCTCTTGTGGTGGATACGAGCAAATATTTTGTTAATGAATCTGGTTCAATGATGACGTAAGAATATTTTACATTAATTTTCTTTCTTTTTATTTAATCTATTCGAAATAGAAAGAAATCGAACTCTTTGCTACGACCACCTGGTGCTGCAAATCAACATGAATAGATTGAATTAATGTTTGATAAAGGCAAATTCATATATATATATATATGTATAGATTCTTCTTTTATTTACTTTTGTTTATATTATTCTCTGTTGCTTTCTGGGTTTGCTTTTCTGTTTTAAATGAAGAGTATGATATTATTTATGATGAGTGTGACTAAAATTCTAATCAGGTGTTGTATATAATATAAATTTCTTTCAGATCATATTTATCTCTAAATCGTCATAATCATGCCATTCAAACCACCAGAAGTTTCAAAATGTAAGTTCAAAGAAAAAAAAAATTCCATCTCAAACTTTGATTCTTTTCATAGGCCCAAAATGTAATCAAAATGTCTATGCTGCTGAAGAAGTTCCAGCAGCTGGAAAAAAATGGCACAAAATGTGCTTTAAATGTGGTATGTTAAATATGAATTATTATTTGTTTTTCTTTTAAATTTTTTCTTTTATATAAAAAAAAAAAAAAAATAAGGTCTTTGTAAGAAAATGTTAGAAGCAATGACTATGGCTGAACATGAAGGAAATATTTATTGCAAACAATGTTATGGCCGTAAATTTGGGTTTGTATTTATTTGAACGAAGAAAAGAAAGATTGTAGAATAAAAATTTTCTTTTAGACCAAAAGGTTATGGTTTTGGTCAAGGAGCTGGTACATTAGGTATGGATACTGGTGAACATTTAGGAAACAAAGGTGGCTCTGAGATGACGTAAGGGTTTTTTTTTTTCATGTATTTTTTTTCTATTTATTTATTTCTTATTATAATAGCAATAAGCCAAACTATGCTCCACCACCTGGCGCTGGTGCTCATCAAGATGAATAAATGAAATTAGTCATTACTTTTAACATCCAAGTGTCCATTTCTTTTTCATGTATAAACAAGAAAAAAAAATCGTTTTTTTTCTATCATTTGTGTTAAAATAAGAACACCTTTAGCAAGCCTATACACTCTTTTTCTTTTTTTTTTCTTTTCTTTTTCTTTCTTTTTTGTCCTTCCTTTTTCTTTTATTCAATACTCATTGCAAGATTTGATTTTATTGTTTGTTATATCTTAAGTAAAGAAAAAAAAAATACATTAATAACCTTATGATGATAAATCTATCATTCTTTTTATGTTCAATGGTTGCTAACGTCATTATATGCGTTGAATTATTAATAATATTATAAACAATTGTTTTTTTCTCGAAGTAGAGAATAACAAACGGCGACCTTTGTTTTTTCTTTTAATATACTGTAGACTTGATAATTATCACTATGCATATGCTCGTATATCACCGATAAAAATAAGCATATGTGTACCGACATTCTTCTTCACCCAATAGCAGTAAGAAAAAAAAAGTCAAGTAATAGTAATCATCCGGGGAAAAAAATCTATCTTATTTATCCTATCCTATGTACATGAAATAAGACCACTGAAGGTTGACGACAATAACAACACTAGCAGTAGCAAAAATAACAACAGATTCACATTAGTCTCATTCATCATTCGTCCAATCTACATTGCTTTTATTGATAATAGAACAAGAGAAAAAAATGGCATAATCAATACTAATAATTATTTTAGTATTACAATAGAAAAACAAAATAAAAAAAAACATAAATATATGATTAAATAATAACGAATTCAAACAATAATACTTATGTTATGATTATTGTTTTCTGAAATTAGAATTATATTCTTGTGATAAATCATAAGATAATTTAACATCATCATTGATTAATTGTTATTTTTATTTTGAATTGAATTTCTACGAATGCATAAAGTCTTTTAACTATTGTATAAGCAATTCATTCTAACGACAAAATATAATCCTTTTTTTTTAATATCGAATTAAGTATGAGAAGGTATATTTGATTAACTATTTAGGATCATTGAATATAATTCATAGTACGAAACTCATTATTGTTGAAGCAATTATTCTAAAGAGATACATTTAATAAATACTATAAAGATAAAAAAAATTCTATTTCTTTTATAATATCATGTCATTCTATTTTTTTTTGATTATGAAACTGATCGATATCATTTAAATAATCATTGAATAGAAAGAAAAATGATTTAATTACACTTTTTTTAAATGTTGTCTTTCATTATCATTTTTATTATTTATTATTCTCTATTCAGATATATTTATTGACATTTTATTAATAATTGATGATGCTGATGCTATTTGAGAATGTAATGACATAGACTAATATGATGATAAGAAATCCGAAGGTCGAATAATTGAAGAAAATTCATTGACAAGGGCAATATTTTGTTTATATTGAAGAATTGTTGATTTTCCATTTTTGCAAATAATCATTTCATGATTTTGATAAACTAATCTTTGTTACAAAAACATTTGATAAAACATATTATTGAATACGTCGACTTTGATTTTGTTTAAAAACAAATTTTAATTGATTTTATAGTATGACAGGTTTTTCTATGGTTGACAATCATTATAAGGATATCGTTTTCGTTGGCTGCTTTTCAACATTTTTATTTTGTTCCTTTAAACGAACAAACAAATATAATAATCATGAGAAGATAATTTTAAATCAATATCCAGCGCCATTTTCACTATCATTTGTAACATAAATTATTTATAATAAAAGTGTCAATATGAAATTTTCTAATTTCTAAATAAGAATAGTAAACGAATGTAATAATAATTGAAAAGTATGAAAACCGATAGTTTATTAACATCGTCATCTAAATTATCTTATCAACAATTAAATTCAATTCTAAATAAATCAATGACAGTATCATTAAGTAATGTTTCAAGTTTTTCTACTCGACAAATGACATTGAAAAAAACATGTTCTTGTTCAACATGTACTTGTTCAAATAATTCAATGACTTATCAAAATATGATTCAATCTCATTCGTAGGTTAATTCTTTTTTTTTTTTTGATTAAATAAAGTTCTTTTTTAATCTTCAGTTTTGAGAATAATGATGACTGTCTAGCGTACGCTTTTATTATTCTATATGAAAGTTCCATATGGTGTATGCAAATTATCTATGAATTATTCTTTAAATCTCTTTGGCAAATTCTAATGTATGTAAAACAAGAATTGCAATATGGTTCAAGATATAAACAGACTAGTAATAGTAGTATGGATATGATGTCTATCGACAGATCAACTCCGGAAAATCATCTATTGGTTTCTAAGAATAAAAATTACTCAGATTTATCAAGATATCATTTACCATTATTTGAAGTACGTAATCAGCGAAAATATTGTCAATTACGGAGAAGCAATTGGTAAATATAAAACTACATATGAATGTAGCAGTGGTCCCAAAAGAATGTCCTACCTGACAAACACTATTTCAACATGAGTATTTTGCCTAGAAACTTCTATTACAGGTAGGAATTGATGAACTCTGATCGCAAGCATCAACTACTGCTCTATTAGGCAACACAAAGTGAACTCATAAATCAAATACTGTTTACACTTTGTCTTTCATGTCAAAGTTATGAAACACTTCATTCCAAAAGTTGAACAATGTAGCTATTTTCAATCAAAATTTCGTAAGAAATCGTTTTAAAACAGTTGAGATATGGTTTTTTAAATAAAAGAAACATTTGACGAATACTGAAACTTAATTTACAGACAAATGCATGTATTTCAGGATGTATTCTAAAATCACACAACAAAGTACTGATGAATGCAAAAGCGATTTGTAAAAGTTTCAGCACTATTGCTGTAAAATATGCCACAATATTATTGTAAAAGCCAGCTATTACAAAACCTGGCGATGGTTTGGATATTGACTATTTGTGGTGGTCTTTAAAAGTACGAGAAAGCAGGTGCATGTAGCACGATAAACGAACGTATTATAGTGAAAAAGCTTGAATGGCAGAGAGAAACTTGCTTAAGTTGTATTTTTGTTGACATGTATTAAAAAATTTGTTAGTTACGTTTTTATTCACAAAATCTACTCGTCTAAACTACTTAATACATTTGTAGTTCATAAAATACTTTTTTTTTACGCAAATATATCTACAGAAAAGCTTTTTAAATTTTAAACTACAATGTTAGGTCAGTATTACTTTTCGAAGCTACTTTGAAATGTATAGTACATGTTTTGCTTGGTGAACATAACATCTTATTGTACTGGTTCTGTCAAAAAAGCAAGTAAAATATGTAAGAAAATCTTTGAAAATCCTGATATTGTGTACAATCAGTATACGAATTTCAATGGCTTCTGTACGCATGCATTTGCCGGTGAATTTTGTGACAAAAAAAAGTAACCAACAAGTTTTTAAATATAGCCAAGTCAAGAGATATGGCTCGTTTCAGGCAGAGAACATGATAGGAACTTAGAAGCAGGAATCCAGTGGTCGAATTTAGTGATCAGCTCTGCCTGGTTACGATCAGAAGTGAAAAATCCAGCAATCGGATCTGATCACGGGTTTCCTACTTTCAAGTTCCTATCATTTTCCTGAATTTTTTGCTCGAAAATGATGTTTTTTCGGCAAAAGTTCGCCAGAAATTCATGTTTTTAGGCGTTGGGATCACTGACCTGGATAGTTCAACGAAAATACAGCTTCAGAAAGGTTGTCTTTATTATTCAACTATTTCTCACTGTAATATTGTTATTTATCGAGTTGCAAACAGCTAATTTTTCGTTCTCCTAAAGACCATCACAAATAGTCAACATTGAAACCATTGTCAGCCCATATGACAGTCGACTCTTCGTTTCGTAATTTTCGAATCCATTTTGAAATAGATGTATTTGATTGAAAATTAAGTTTCACATTATTAGTCAAAATATTTTCATTAAGAAAATCATATCTCAACCATTTTAAGATGATATCTTCCAAATTTTAGATCGAAGATAGTTAAGATGTTTAGATTTGAATGAGATGTGCGGCAGAGAGATTCATATTGAAATGGCTAAAACATGCAGATAACATTTAACGTGTTTGATTTATATGTTTGTTTTATGCCAACAGATGGAGGATTAGTCGATGCTTATCATCAAAACTCAACAAGTTATACTTACGATAGAAATTTCAAGGCAAAATGTTCATGTCGAAATAGGTTTCGCCTACTTAAGGTATTTTTTGCGACCTTTGTGTTTCTAGTGAAGATAAGATTCTGTTTTGGAATGAAACTCATCATTTACCATCAAATCAAAATATGAATCAAGCATCAACAGAACACAAAGATAGTTGTTCAAGGGATAAACATATTGTTGTTGTACCGATTCGTTCATCTCATTGTCAAACGGAAACATCAAAAAGTGATTTACAAACCATAAATATAGATTTAAAACAATCAGAAAAAACAATTAATTTACATGAACCACTAAATGATATATTGTGTCGCCGTTTACATAAACCATTAATGTTTATTAATCGTGATGTGTTTTGTAGACATAATCGAACTTTATTCTATTCAACAGTACCATCGGGTATGAGAAAATTGTTATATGAGCTCGAAAAAGATGTCTTTTCGAATCCAGAGATAGAAATGTAGTTGTTTCAATTTAGGACGAATATTATTTTATGAGGGTATTAAAACCTAATTAAATTCAATAGGTAGCACACTTATACATTTGATATTTTGTCATACTATTCATACATATTTTTGTAAGACCATTGAAATACACAAATCAGATGTATTCCGTATTTCAACAGTATCAAAATAAGATAAGCAATTTGTTGAATATTTTATATACACGATAATCTTAACTTGAAATCTTGTCAAAAACTATGTAGTCGAGACACGTACAGAATCAGAGGATAATAATAGAAAGATTTTAAATTATTGTTTATTTCAGAAAAATTATTCTCCAAGTGATGACTAAATAGATGTTTTGTTTTGTAATATAAATCGAATAAATCAGATAATATTCTATGTTACATATTTCTTCACAATGTTGGACGGTCTACCAACATTTTTGTCTGGTTTTAATGCCATGAAACACATATAACAAGTACTATCTATTGCATCAAATTAATTTTTAATGTGCACGTAAAATATAGTTTTCTTCATTAGTCGAGCTCATTTCTGCGTCTGAACTCGTAACAATCGTTTTACTGAGCTAAACAATAATTCTCGACATTAAGTAAACCCGCTTTGATTTCGTATTATTTTATTGAAAACTCTAATCAGGTAATAGAACGTGAAATTCTATATTTACTGATTTTTTTTTTACTTGAATCTTAAGATATGAAGCTATTATGAATAAGTTTGTTCAAGTTTTGACTCGAAGCAAGATCCAATAGGCACAACATTTTCAACCCGGAACGATTAATCAGAATTTTCCATCAGTCGACCGACATTCAGAATAGATTTAGTAGCCAAATGTTAATAGTAAATTCGTCAAAAACCGAAATCTAGTCTGGTCACAGAGTTCACCATTACTTTTACTGCTGTATTGTGTGCTTCAGTGTCGTATTATATTCGATTGGTTCAGCATTAGAGACAGTTTTCTTATTTTCGACATGCAAGTACTTTAACTTAGAATATATGTTGCTATTATCAATTTAAAAAAAACGGTGATCATGTGTGTTTTATGAATGAGTTTTGGTAGAAACAAGATACAGAGCTATGATTTTCATCTTTATAAAAAGCAAGATTCAAGCGCATAAAGACCTGCTGATATTTGATTGACCAGCATTGAACTATTTGGATTAATTCATGATCAATATTTTAAAAATGAGATTTTAGAACGATTTTTGAGTCAATCTGGATTATTAATATGATTGGTAGATAGGGAATATGTTCTCTGTCGGTTTACACAAGGCCAATGTTGCTAACTTGTTCTATTCAAGAGTAATATAGATTTTGTTGGAACCGCCGATTTCAGTAGATTAACTGGAGATGACTCGGACAACAGCGAGATAGGAATAATTTATCATGGTGAGTCAAATGACTATATTTGTTTTTGAATTTAAAATGATTTGACACTGTTATTTCAATATTCGTGATGATCTAGACTTATTATCATACATAGAGGCAGGTTTTCAAAGTTTTTTAACACTGAAATAACAATGTCAAATCATTTCGAATTCAAAAAGAAATATCGCTATTCGACTCGCCATGATGAATTTCCTCTATCTAGATGCTTTTTTTGGATGCTCTTAGGTCAATGGGTTGAAATAAGAAGTTTCAAGAAAATCTTCATAACTTTTGAACGAACTAAGTTAGCAAAGCCGCTCTTGTGTAGATAAAAAGAGAACAACTTTTCCTAGCTATCTATCATAAATGTAATCAACATCAACTGAAATAATGACTCCAAAATATCATTTAAACAATGCTTAACAAGAATAAATCTGATTAGTTCAAGGTTGACAAATCAAATATCAGCAAGTATTTATGCTCCTTGGTCTTCTCTTTTTAATGGTGAAAACCACAGCTCCTTTTCTTTTGAAATGGATAATAGTATTTCAAATCATTTCGTCATTCAGGACAAAATTTTTCTCAACAGCAACTACATGAGGAAAAAAAGCTTTCTTCATTTCAACAATCGTCACTCAGTGAAAGCTCAAAGCAAATTGCTTCAACTCTATCTTCAGGTATTCATTTTATGCATTTAATTATAAATTATGTTCCTTCTTTCTTTAGCGGATCGAAATAAGGAATTGTCAACGATCAATGCTGCTAATTTATTTTCAGCAAAAAATAAATTTTCATTATCAAATACTAAAAATGAATCAACTTTTCTTCATGATCTAACCGATATCCAATCAGATAAAACATTATTTTTAAATAACTCTCAACCATTCGTTATTAATCTACACCAAGGAAAGCAATCTAATAAAAAATTTAAACGAAATCGACGAATAATCAATGATCATAGTATACCATTAGCACTTGCTACAAGTCTTCATTCAAATTTACGTTTGTATGATGAAGATTATTTTCTAACAAAATATATTCATCCATTATTCACAGAAAAACATTATGTTCGATAATATATTCAAATATTTCAGTAATTTTTACATTCATGTTCAGAGTTTGTATACATTATCCTAAAACAAAAAAAAGATCATAAGATTATCAATAATAAATGTGCAATCAATTGTTGAATTCATATTTTCTATCGAAATTGTACAAATCAAATTATGGATTTCTTGTTTTGCAAATTCATTGACAATCGGTGATTTGAAAATCTTGGTGTCCCCACTCGAAAATGACCTACTACTATCATAAACCTTTGCATCTAGTATTTGTTTGTGAAACTCGTGTATATTTTGAAATAAAATAGTGAATGTATGTTTAAAATGAAGCTTTTTTGTGGCTTCACCATCCCCTCTCTTTAAATCTAGGCCCTAGCAACCAAGGTGAGAGAAGAAAGGGCAAAGATTATCGAATACGGTTTGGTAGCAAATGGAAAAGGCATATAACTCATAACAGAATTTCAGTCATTCTGAAGCTTTGTAGGTTCTAAATAATCTAAATATTACGACTTTTGATATTTATTGCAGAGAAAACATCTTATTCTAAACGTCAATCGGTAGGATATTGGTATTATTGATCTAGTAGAGTCATCATAGGATGGTCATCGAAAATTATGAATTAATTCAATTCTAAGTTTGTACAAAATTCAACAGTATATATGAAAATTCTTCGAGAGTAAGGATGGTGTGTGCGGAAGCTTACTGAAAAAACAAAATCAATGTGAAAAGTAGGCCACTATATTGGTTGAGCTGACGAAACAAAGAATAAGAGAATATTGGTCGCTTCCTACGGCATGTAGCGTATATGTTGTCATTAGAAGAGAGTAAGTTATATACTGAAGATATATCTGACAAACCTTTCGAAATGATAAGATTTTAAAATGCACGTATCAACTATAAAGAATGTTATAATTGTCAAATATGCATAGCAAGTAATCCATTCATCAAGACAGCTATAGACAAGTTTATGAGACGGGTTCAATCCTTCTATGATAGATGCAAAGTCGTTTTAAATGTGTATGTTGAATTAGGTAATTTAATTGTAGCATGAAACGAAAGAATGACTTATTTAATGCAGCAATAAATTTTTATTGTTTTTCTAAATTTTTTTCGAGAAAGCAATTGCTGCCCCTTGTATTGCTGGTGCTCCACTCATCATTATGACTTCATAGAATGAGTGATTCAAAATACAAACGTCTATCCTTCCTCTATATATAAGATATAGTAACGGCTATGAAAACCTTTCATATTTTCTCGTATCATATAAAAGATTTCGTGCAACAAAGTTGGAATTTTCTTTTACTGTGTAGAATGCTACAATTTTTTGCAGTGAAATTAAAAGATAAATTTTATTTTACAATATTGAAAAACCACTTCAACTATGCGTATATAATCTTCTGCATTCAATGATACATCACTTTTCAGCATGCATATATTCAATGATTCTTTTTGAATAGCTCAACACTGGTATCATAAATATAGCACGATACTATCACACAGCATCCGTATTACCAAGTGTAAGAATATTAGTCAATTGTGGATATAATGATAGTTCTGAACTAAACAGTGCTCTGATGCATGATTCTTCAACAGGCGCTTGGACAACGATTGGGTGTATGAGTACTGTACGATTTCTACACGCACCATCTGTATTAGCAAAATGAAAAAGTGTTAGTCGTACTGTTGGATATAGTAGTAGTTCTGGACTAAGTAATGCTGCGTTGAATGATCTATCAACAAGAAATAGGACAACGACTGGCAATATGAAGTATGCATGATATAGACACACAATATCTGTACCAACAAATAGAAATTGTTAGTTACTGGTTGATTGGTTAATAGTCGTTCTTCAAATAATGTTGATCTGTATGATTTATCAGTCAGAAGTTGAAGAACAACTGGCAATATGAATTATACACGATATAGACACAAAATATTCGTATTAAAAAATGGAAAATTCTAGTTTTTGGTAGATTCAATGGTACTGATAACTTAAAATATGTCTGACATTTGAATAGGACTCAAATTTCAAGTTCAGTATATATGATGGCTCTGCATAATCACAGTTTCTAGAATATTTATTTCTAGTTATTCAGTCAAATCGTTTAATAAAAAAAGTATAGAATTAATTAACGAGTGATATACATTAATTGTGATATTGAAACTTTTCGTTAACAGCTGTTATCATCATCTGTCAAAAAAAAAGAAAAGAAGTCATAAAAGATTGTTAAAAGTAGATCGAAAATTAAGTCCAATCAATATAGAGACCAAGGAAATAGAACGCTTTTCTCTTATCTTGTATGTTAAATAAATTTGAATCATAGCCTCCTTGTAATAATTTCTTTAGTTATTTTCTTATATTGACAGATGACAATAAGATTTGCTACCGAAACGTTTCAACAGCAAAAATAAAATATATATTATGGTAATAATTCCGTTACTTTGATTATTTACGGTTTATGTTATGGATGATAAATTTTTATGAGAATTTGTTTCTTACTGTGCCATGTTTCTAGTAGCAGTACCATACATGTACAGCTTTGGTAATCAAAATGTAGAAAGAAGATCGGATACGCCATATTTTATGTGTTTAATTACAGTGAAAGTGCGATGCAGTTACACCGTAACTACGTGTAACTGCATTGCAGTTACTAAAAGAGACGACATAATTGAGATTTTCATTATATTAACCTTTCGGAACAAGTGACGTATATATGGATCACCCATCCTAGATTTGATACGATCTCCTAACGTCAATTACCTATCTATTGGTCTATTGAACACTGTTGTGGAGTTTCGGAACGCACTGCATACTTACCTGTCGTTGATCTCGAAAGGTCACGAAACTTGATTATAGACTAGTTATCAACGATTCAAAAAGCTTGCGTCTTTTGTTATTTTTTTTTTCAAAAAAATAAATCTCTTCTTAAAGGACTAAAATTTTTATTTTGAATTATTATTTTTAAAATGAATTAATAATAATTTTTGTGATTTTCTATAAAACTTGACCAAAGTTAATTATACAAAAAAAAAACGACAAGTTTAAAAAAACACATAACATTACAAAAATAAGAAAAAACAAGAAAAAATATTATGTAAAAAATATGAGTCGTTAAAAAAACTTTCAAAAATAGAAAAATATTAATAATATTTAAAATATTAAAAATAATCGGAACCTTACCTCGTATTCCACTTCGCTATCCGCGGCAACCTGCAGGTCTCCGTTCTGATCTAAAAAAAGTGCATTCATAATTCATATTCTATCTGTTATAGCAGACCGAATTATGAATTGCAGATACACAGATGCTCCTTTTTATACGATCCTTCTGTGTCTAAGTTGTAGGTCTAGAGTATGACCAATTATGAGTTAGAAAGAACCACTCATAATTAGTAACTATAAACTCCACTAAATCATACGATGCGAGTAGTGCGGCGCAGTGTCTGATAGCGGTTTGGTTACGATCAATGCGCCGCACTTCCAAGTACTTGCGATCAAAGTTACACAGCTACGTGTAGCTACGATGCAATTATTACGAAGAAACGACATTAGATTTTACGCACTTGAACGTTGTTGGCAATACACAACCGGGATCGTGCCTAAAAGTGATTAACTAGCAGGGACGTGTATTGGATAGAAACTGAAACTCGAAAAGAGAGATGAATTCTAACCGGTAGCTGAACTCATGAGGTGAGTGAGACCTGTACTAAAACCAGGCACGAGCTTAGACCAGCACAACCATGGAACCACAATGAAAATCGACAGTAGCTCCAGCGCCAGAACCGGAGCCGTGGGCGGCATAGATACATTGGTAGGAATCGTTAGAACAACGATTGTAGTTCTAGGTCAGGCACCAGATCCATACCCTGCAATGACATCACGATCCAAGCCCAGAAAAGGCTGGTACTGACGCTACCAGAACAATAGAGGTGCATCTAGCAGCAATATTAGAATCGGGAGCAAATCGAGGACTGATAGAGCATTAAGAGTTGAGATCCAAGCGATGCCCCTATCGACACTATATTCAAGGTCAGAAGGAGCTAACAGTGGTACTAGCATTGAAACTGAAGCCGTATCTCGAAATGTTACGCAAGTTCCAATCTTTCGAGGACTGATTCTGGCTCTGGTATATCGACTGAAGACGTGTTCGGCATTGCCATTGGACTCGCGGCCGTTATGAGGACCGATGGTTAGTCTCTGATTGGAACTGAAGCTGTCCCTCCCACCCCCACTTATACCAGGATCGAAAACATTACAAAAATTAACCACAGCTTTACGATTAGGACTGAATTAGTGTCCCACAATGATACCGGAGTCGAAACAGAAAGAAGAGCTCGTAATGGGGAAAGGATCAACAAAAGCCCTGCCCACTATTGAAACCGAGATCTGAGTCGTTAGAAATAGAAGCAGTGCTTCTAAGATTTGGATTGAAGCCCTGTCTCGCACTGACACCGGAATCAACGCACGGACGGAAGGTATCAGTGGCCATAGGATGAAGAATAAAGGGGTGTCCACGATCGCAACCGACTTCAGAGTCGTTACAGACACTGGTAGTGATTACAGCATTGAGGCAAAAGCCGCATCCCGCATGGATACTGAAATCTGAACGAGGACGAGTGCTTGCAGTGATGATAAAATTTAGAATAAAGCGGTGTCCACGATTGATAAGAAGACTGGAGTCTTTACAGGATTGTGACTAGAGCCGTGTCCCGCATTGCTACCGAAATCAGAACAAGGGCCAGGGTTTCCAGTGACAGTAAGATCAACACTAAAGCCGTATCTGAGGTTGATACCGATATCGAAGTCGTGACAGACGCTAGTAGAAGCACCACGGCTCAGGCTTAAGCCGTATTCCGCTTTGATACCGAAATCGGCATAGGGAAGAGAGGTATTAGCGGCTGATGGTTAAAAATAAGGCCCTGTCCACGATTGATACCGAGATTGGAATTGCTACAGACACTGCTAGTAGCTCCAGGATTAAGACTGAAACCGTGTCCCGCATTGATATCAGACAAAA